AACAAGCCAAATGCAAACTGGAAGGCAGGGAGAGCCCCACCTCTTGATCTCCTTGATGCAGACCCTATGGGCCTGCTCTGGCATGCTAGACGTTCGGATTTTTCTCTCCAGCATGACGACGTCATCATTATCTTCCTCCTCGTCTTCATCCTCCAAAGTGCCTGGGACGTGCGTGAGCCTCCTCAGAGGGCGAATCGCTACCACCTACAGGAGGGAGGCGTCAAACCCAAGTCAGCACAGGCTGGGGGCAGGGTCCTCGCCACAGGGGACCTCAGACCTCACGCTGAGCAAATATTTTTATGGTCAGAGTCTGAATCCTCAGGGGCTAAAGCTCGGCCTGAAACCTAAGGGGCACAGCGCACAAGAAGGCAGAATTTAAAAAGCAGACCAAGATCCGGCGGCCAGGATTCTTTGGTACCTGCTTACACGAAAGAAGGAAAAAACCAGGAAACTGAATCCTATAAATAATCAAAACATGTAGGAATTACCTTTCTTGGCGTCACCATTGCAGCCACTATTTTCTGGGTATACATTACCACCCACCATTAGCAACTGAGTAATTTCCATTTTTCCTCCTACATTACAACATTCCTACCAGCTTTAACCTTCTCATCACTGGTTCCACCACTGGCTCTATTCTTTGTCTTGGACACACAGAACAGTCTTCCTCCTTCCAGTCCTCTCTCACCTCCGCCCCTCCCAGTTAATTGCACACCAGTGACTTCCTTCCCAAAACGTGGCTTTCAGCTCCCTTCCCCGTCCTTACCAGTTCCTTCCTGCTCTGTACTTCCTACTGTGGCTTCTGTCTCGGTCTGCTAAAATTGTTCTTTGAAATCCAACAGCCATGTTTTAAACAATCATATTTTAAAACTAACTATGTGCCCTTTTAAAATTCTCAATCATTAATGCAATAATTAAGCTCCAGCCATTACTGGTGCAAAATGATATACTGGTATTTAAGCCTCAGAATTTATTCTTTTAACCTATGAGATTACCCATTTAATACACTCTAATATAAAAAGTTAAAAACACAAAGCAGTAGCTTGGCCAGGTAGCTCAGTTGGCTAGAGCACTGCCCCGATATAAGGTTTCCGTTTGATCCCGCCAGGGCACATACAAGAATCAACCAATGAACGCATAAATAAGTGGAATAGCAAATCAATGTCTCTCTCTCTTTCTCCTCCCCTTCCTCACTCTCTCTAGAAATCAATCAATAAAATTTTTTTAAAAATTAGGAAAGCAGGGATAATTAATATTTAAAAGAAAACACAAAGCAGTAAACAAAAATGTAATTTTACAAAAACAGAAATATTAAAAAGTATATACTTTGATTCTTACATAAGTCATTAGCAGGTAAAATTAATAAAATATATTAAAGTATGAAAACTGAAAATAAAATATTTTATTTTTTTTAAAAGTGAGATTAAGCCTGGCTGGGCATGGCTCAGCGGTTGAGCATTGACCTTAGGATCCAGGAGATCGGGGTTCGATTCCCCGTCAGGGCACATGCCTGGGTTGTGGGCTAGGCAGCCGATCAATGACTCTCATCACTGATGTTTCTTTCTCTTTCTCTCTCTCTCTCTCTCTCTCTC